CATAAGCTTTCGTGGGCTACAGCCCACTTCTTTGGATGCATAAGAAGTGGGCTGTAGCCCACGAAAGCTTATGCTCTAATAATTTGTTAGTCTCTAAGGTGCCACAAGTACTCCGGTTCTTTTTTCATGAGCTGCATGTGTAGCACTGATGGGAAAAGAACTATTAAGAAAGTGATAGGGTTGTAGGAGAAAGATGACAAACTTCAGCCCCAACAACCCTAATCCCAGTATACTTTATCATACCAGATGGTGACAGGTTGCTGTAGTAACTTCAAATAATGTACAAGAACCACAAGCAATAATAAAACAAAAACACTAGAGAAAAAATAGCAAATGATGTAGAATGAAACTATCCTTCAATATTAATCTAGTATAAGTTAAACATTCACTTGGTTATATTGTGGGTATTTTTTACATGCTGGGAAGTGTGCACATGGAGTGAGGGTGGAAGGTATTTGGTTCATGTGGCCAATTAAACAGTTATCCTCGTGTGTCACGATATATGTCCACATACATGTCAACAAAAAGCAACCAAAATAAAATTTAAATACTAATGCTCTAAGGCTTTTGAAAGGCAATAGTTAAAGACATGCCATTAGCAGAATATTTAAAGTTTTAAACTATTACTTTTATCTAAAAAGAGTACAAACAGTTAACAGTAAGTCAACAAGTCTACCTGATGTTTCAAAAGGCATAATTGGAATAATATTTGTTTATGTGTTTATAATATATATAAATAACATATAAACAATTTACTTTTCAGTAGTGGGTGATGTGATCACACTACGTATTGAGTCTGAGCTAATTTTCACAGTACAAATCAGGCATACATTAACTCAACTGAAATCAATGGAGTGGAGTGCAAAACTGGTGTTTGTGAAGTCTGGAAAGTTCTTTGGGAACTTTCTGGGTAACAGGTATTATACAAATATAAGTCACATCATTAATATACATGAGAGCATTTTTTGTAATCTGAATACTGCTCACAATGTTAAAAATCACCAATATATTAGCAGTTTCTATATTGTAATAATGCAATACAGAAAGATCTTCTGGACATTCATGAAACGAGTAAATAACCTCACCTGCTTAGGTTGAGCATATGCACAATGTGACAATTCTTGTAAATAAAAGCTAAGGAATGCACTGTGATGCCATTGAGAGTGACAGTAGTTCAAAGCTTTTTGGCACACATAGTAATGCTTACAGTGCTTCAGAAAAACAATATACCCTCAGAACTCTAGTGCATGTCTATATCGATACAGATGGTAACACAACACTTCTTTATCATATTATGAAAAACGTTGAACAGCAGCATTTTGTGCTGAAAAAGGTATAAACTGAATTTGAAGTGGTGAATCAGATATTCCTTATGTAGTAGTTTTGTGTCTTCTCAGAGGAATATAATTCACCTCCAAGCCACATGCTCTCCTATACTCCTCCAAGCCATGTGCCTAGGTATAAAGGCCTAGACCAAAAATATAAAGATTATAATAAGCTGTTATGTAACAGCCTATTGTGCTTATCAAATGTGTACACAGTGTTTGAAATTTGGAAACCGATCCACCCCACATACATTTATCACAGCTTGTCATTGAATATTTGGGGGTGGGGGTTGGGGTTGTTTTTTGGTTTGTTTACATAAAGTAGATCCATCCTCTGCTGTACTAGGTTTGAGGTTCTATTTTTACATTTATGTTTGATGTCTTATAGTTCATTGGACCTGTCTTCTTGTCTTTCATAGATGACTAAACTGAAGCCTTGGTACTCTATTTGCACATCTTACTGACAGCTTTTAGTTTCTGACTAAAAACATCCCAGTCTGCTGTATTCTTATTCCACTGTTTACCTTCCATAGTAGGTAAAATTTAGTACAGCCTAGCGTTTAGTTGAACATAGAAGGATAATTACCTAAATGTTGGATTAATTAATGGGAAAATGTGAGTAATTTTACAACAGAAATGATATGGGAATAAAAGCAGCCTCTCAGATTTAAAAGTCTATTAAAGGTTATACAATTAAGGCTCTCTCAAAATTGTTCCTTTAAAGCTAATGCAGATATAATGATAGCATGGTATTTCTCCAAAAAACAGAAGTATTATGCCCTGCTACAAGTCTTAGTCTTACAATTATCTGTGGGGGTCTAAAAACCAACATTCAAAGAACCTCCCATCCCACAAAAGTGGTATTCTTTCGCTACAATCTAATTTTTTGTGTGTATGTTCAGTACTAGAATCACCCCCCATTCTCCCTGCCCAGCATTTCCCAGGATAAAATCTAACAAGGAGCATGACTGCATTGTAAATGATTTATCACAGAAGTATATTAATTGGGCCAGATTTTGTCCTTCTTTACACCGGTGCAAAATAGTGAAGAACCAGTGGATAGAATCTGTCCCATTACATTGTACAGAACATATTTTCATAGTGACCTCCTTAGAAGATTCATACACCTGCATG